AAAAGGCTCAAACATAACAACACTGCAATTCGAAGACGATGACATCAATATAACCAATGAAACCAAACATCTAAGTATCAAAAGAAACGAGCAAAACCGGGCAAATATCTCTGAAAGAATAAGAACCGGCAGGGCAACAATATACAGCCTTCTCGTAGCCGGTTTACATGTCAGAAGGGGATTCTCACCCATGGTCGCATACAAGCTATGGAGAACATATGCAGTACCAAGAAGCATCTACGGACTTGAAGTGATGAACTTAATTGCAAAAGAAAAGGATATGCTAGAACTGGCAGAGAGAAAAATCCTCCGACAAATCCAAGGGCTTCCAAATAATACAGCAAATATGGCTGTCTATACCCTGGTAGGAGCAGAACCTATTGCCATCACATTAGACAAAAATCTACTTACCTTCTTCATGAATATTGCTCGAAATTCAGGAACCATAGAATGTGAAATTCTGCGTCGACAAATAGCATTCTCAGACCAAAGAGGAAAAGACTTTATCAACAGAGTGGAAAAAACTCTATCAAAATACAATTTGAAATCTAGTAGTTACTACATAGAAAAACCACTTAAGAAAATCGAATGGAAAAGAATAGTAGGAATAAAGATCAAGGAATACTGGAAAAATGAATGTCATTATGAAAAAATGGAAAAAACATCACTTAAATACATAGAGATACAAAACAATCCATTAAATGAAGCACACAATATATGGAAAAGCGTAAAAAACAATAGTAAAGATGTAAAGGCAGGAGAAATAAAAGCAAGAATAAGTACTCAAACGTACATATTACAAGCCAAAAGAGCTAAGTTCGATCCAAAAGTTAACCCGATATGTACAATCTGTGAACAGGAAAATGAAGATCTAGAACATTTTATTCTACGCTGCAAAGAATTGGAGCAAATAAGATCTAAATATTGCTCAAAAATAGAACAGACAATGGATGAAATTGATACCTCAACATACAAGAAGATCATACGAGAAGGGAATTTACTGCAGCTCATAATGGACTGTACTAGCAAGGACATAAACTGTTACTCAACTGTGTATGAAAACATTGAAACTCTGGCTAGAAATATGTGCTACGAGATGCACATGCTGCGCACAAAAAGGATAAAAAACTTGAACACAAGTACAGTATAAGTAAACTTTTTTTTTTAAATAAAATAGTTCCCTACTTTACCATCTTACTATTTTATTACTTATTAGGACCTAAATTAAATAAAAAAATTTTGCAAAGTTTTAAGATATCCAGTTACCTTTAAAAAATAATGATAAGATCCGAAATAAGGTAACTTTAAACTGTGAAGGAAAACTTATGTATATATGATGAATTGTTCTAAACCCCAACCCTTTTACATAAGTCCTATAAAATAACCTTCTCATTATAAATTCTGATGTATGTATAGCACCTTTAACTAACAATTATAAGAAAGTTTAATTTAAGACCACTTAAATTCTAAATTCTTATTTGTAAATATATCCAATTCTTACTAAACTTATTCTTACACCTCAGCACATTATGAATATTATTTTTAAAATTTTATGATGACAATCCTATGAATTAGTTATAATATTAATTATTTAGTAATTATTATTGCCTAAATTCAGTCATCTGTACATAATAAAATGTTTCCTTATGTTCTAAGGTGTATATAGTTGCTACAATTATACCCTATGGGTAGTGCTCCACAATTAATGGAGGAATATACAAGAAACTGAACTGAACTTCCAAGTGCTCCACGAAACCTCTTTCTAAATTATTAACATCTATTTTATCAGCAATCAAAGCCGGGCTTCAAAGTTATTGTGAAACTGCCTATTCTAGAGGTGGCGTGAATCAGATGTGGATACTAAAAAATTCCAAAGATCTTTTAGAGTACATACAATCTCTCTCTCATTTTGCAATAGTATTAAAACATTTGACTTTTCTACACTTTACACAAGTATTCCCCATTCCAAACTAAAAGACAAATTGAAAGAGTTGGTATTGCTTTGTTTCATAAAAAAGAATGGCGAACGTAGAAACAAGTATCTTGTCTTGGGGAGGGATAAATCCTACTTTGTAAAGAATCACTCTGATTCAAACAAAAAATTCTCTGAAACAGACATTATCAAGATGTATGATTTCTTGATTGACAACTTAATTTGTTACGTTTGGAGGACGTGTTTTTCAACAGACTGTCGGCATTCCAATGGGAACCAATTGTGCACCTCTTCTTGCCGACTTGTTTCTTTATTATTATGAGGCTGACTTCATACAGGAACTTCTTAGGAAGAAAGATAAGAAGTAAGCAATATCCTTTAACTTTACTTTCCGCTATATAGATAATGTTCTCTCACTAAATAATTCAAAATTTGGTGACTATGTTGAATGCATCTATCACATAAAGATGAGATAAAGGATACAACAGATACAGTAAAGTCTGCCTCATATCTTGACATACATCTAGAAATTGACAATGAGGGTCGGTTGAAAACAAAACTTTACGACAAAAGAGATGATTTCAGCTTCACAATTGTGAACTTTCCATTTCTATGTAGCAACATTCCAGCAGCGCCTGCATACGGAGTATATATCTCCCAATTGATACGATATTTCCGGGCTTGTATTTCTTATCATGATTTCCTTGATAGAGGGTTGCTGCTCACAAGGAAGCTATTAAACCAAGAGTTCCAAATGGTGAAGTTGAAATCATCCCTTCGTAAATTTTACGGACGCCATCACGAGTTGGTTGACCGTTATGGAATAACCGTTTCACAGATGATATCGGATATGTTCCTTATGTCGTAATTACAATCCACTTCCTTTTTCACCACGAATATGACCTACCGAATTAGACTATTTACCGGATTTGTAATAACATGAGCAACACGATGGGTGCCACATGTGGAGCAGGATCTGCTTAACCTCCCGGAGCACCTGAGATCACCCCCAGTTTTTGGTGGGGTTCGTGTTGCTTAGTCTTTAGTTTTCTATGTTGTGTCTTGTATACTATTATTTGCCTGTTTGTCTTTTTATTTTTTAGCCATGGCGTTGTCAGTTTATTTTCGATCTATGAGTTTGACTGTCCCTCTGGTTTCTTTCGCCCCTCTTTTGTATTAACAGGGAAAAAACTTAACGGTCGCCCAGTCGCCCATGGCGACCAGAAATTGACCTGGGCGATCTTTTTATTCAGTTGTGGTAGCCCAGGTGGCGAATTGAAAACAAAGTACTCAACAGACGGAAATCCGCTGTTTACCGTGGCTCCAAGTGTCGGATACTTCACTGACAAAAATATAAATTCAAAAAGAAAAAAAAATCTTTTTAAAATGTATACAGGCAAGTGTCGAGAGTCGTATTGTCGCAAAGTCGCGATAAACAAGGATGTAAAATCAGTGTTTACTTTTGACTAAATATAGTTCACGTTAATTCAGGTCACTGATTGGTCGTCTAATTAAAGTCCGGAAAGTATCGTATGTTTGCAAGGATAACAAGAGAGACGTTCCGATGGTCATTTACAATATGAAGCGATCAAATACCCTGTTTGGTTTTGGCTTCAAGAAAGCGAAGAAATTCAGAGAAGATGACAATAGCATGTTATGAAATAATATCAGTCAAATAAAAGAACGTATAATATATAATGTTGTTAAGAATCTGGAAAAAAGTACCTTTTGTTGTTCCCTTTTCAAAGCCCACGTGGTGTCCAGAGAATGAAGGTCAAAAACGAAAGTAGAATATTGTCGACCACAAATAAATAACATTAGTTCAAAATGATTTTAGTTTCCTACTTACTGAACAGTTTACAAAAAAGAGAAAATCAGAGGGGATATCAATTTTATGACAATGCTTTTGAAATACGTGTACAAGTCTTTTGAGAAAAAAGGGGGGTCATTTGTTAACATATGTACGTAGTTACGCAAAATAAATCGATCCAGATATCTATAAATTAGATTATTAAAAAAATAAAATTAAATATTTCATCTATCTTCTAGATGTATTTAAGGACAGAGAATTCTTTAGTTGTCTTAAAAAGATATTTTTAAAAAAAACTGGTACACAGGGTATGAAGATTCCCGTTTTGTAAATGATTTTTTTTTTTTATTAAATTTGATTGAAGTCAACAACAAAAATAAGACAAAATTTACATTTTCCCAAGCATCTAAATCACCTCCAGGAATGCTCAGAATGCAGGGTTTTGAGTCTAAAATTTCAAAATTTTCTTGGGGGGGCATGCCCCCAAACCCCCCTAGCAACTTCAGCCCGCTTCGCGGGCTTCACCGGTGATACTCATAGTGAAATAAAGTGGACTACTAACTTTTTGTCTGGGCTAACTGATTTTCAAGTCTAGTAGCCCAGCTGGCTACTGGCCTTACAAAGTTAAGTTTCACCCCTGATTAATTTAAGCCTTTAAACTGAATTAGTATATTCAATATTTATAATTTATCGTTGTGTCCGTGTGTCAGGCTACAAAATGCATGTCAACTATTTTTTGCACTGGAACCTTGCCACTAAGGAACCTTGCCACTAATGCGAATGTGACCTAGCGAATTAGACTTATTACCGGGTTTGTTAGTAAATGGTCAAAATAGTAACTGATATAAAGTAATTGGATTTTTTGGTTACGAGATTCACTGACAGACATTTTGGTACCGTTTATGTTATATTCTGAAGTCCTAAACTTTCCATACCTTCTATGAACGCAAACGCCAGACAAGCTTTTTAAAAAGCTAACAGTTGCATTGTTTTTATACTGGAAATTATGTCGATAGGAAACTCGGATCTTTCAAAAGGAAACCAGTCTTCAAAACGGAAACGTTTACACCACAATAGATTCCCTAGTGATTGTACTATTGAGATGTTGAGTTACCACTTTCCAATAAAATAGTATAGCAACTTTCATAATCAAATAATAACTGTTGATCTTTTTCCAATACATTTTTCTAACACGGCCGCAAAGAAATTGACAGGCAGGTAAATAGTGTGCAATGATATTTAGTAGTAGTGATTTGGTCAAAATGGAGACCACAAGTCGACGTGTACTTCTGTTTTTATTATTAAGTGTTTTCATTGTCCCTGTCTTTTGTCAGGATCATGACAACCTACACGGAAATCATGCACAGAATGGCGAACGAGTCAACCCCAAATTCAAACCCATACTAGAGCACCATGGTGCACAATTAGGTACCGACAAGGATGCTCCTGGTGTTCACCAGGTTGGAGTGAATCAAGAACTTTTGAGACAACAGAGACCTTTAGGATCTGGAAAGGTGCAGGAAGGCCAGTTACCTAAAGGAAGACCAAAACATTTTCCACAGTTCAAACTGTCGGAACAACTACAGTGTAGAGAGGACATCAAGAAATTCTGCAACCCCAAAATAGCTGATAACAACTTCGAAGTCATTGACTGTCTACAAAGTGATGAAAAGGTACATGATCATAGACATAGTTGCCAACTACACAGTGGATATCACACTTTTATTTTTAATATGACAAATGCTGCCTGGGATCATCTGACAATGATCTGTTCATGTGTTCCATACACTTTCGCGCAATGTCAATGACAATAATTACACAATACACCTTATCGCTATTTGGAAATCTGTCCCGCTTGAACTTTTGATGTCATACAACAATCACTTTTCCATTGTGGCATCAGATATTTTCTATTATGATGTCAAAATTATACAGGAACTTTTGTGATGTCCAGTAATGGCGGACAAATAGCGATAAAGTGTATGAGTTCAACATGTTATTGAAATTCCTCATGATTGGGTATTATAGCCATTTATGGCAGAAACATACATATTGATGGGACATGACACTTCCTAACTATAGCCGATTTTAATTGTCTCGTCATGGTTAATAAATTAACATGAATGACAGTACGGAAACTGACATGTGTAAAACACGTACTCGCTATTATCTTAATAATCTCTGATAATACACCTTATCGCTGTTTGTCCGTCATTACTGGACATCACAAAGGTTCCAGTAAAATTTTGACGTCATATTAGAAAACATTTGACCCTACAATGAAATAGTGATTGTTGTATGATGTCAATAGTTCAAGAGGCGCAGATTTCCTAATAGCGATAAGGGAGGGTTGTAATGGGGTACTTTTATGACGAATAACGATAATTTTTGGTGCATGACGATAAAATGTACACTTTCTTTTAGACGATAAAAAAAACGACTGATTTTGACAAATCACGTTAATTTTCTTCCAAAAATAACAGAATCGATAATTATTTGAGACTTCTGATGAATCACGATAAGGATATTTTGACAAATCACGGTATAAATTTAACTAATTTGATGCTAATGGTAGCCGAAAATGACCGTAAAAGGCATTCATACCCTCATAATGTCTATATCAATAAACATGATAAAATGTCATTCAAACTAAGTAATAAGTGACGCCAGTGTATCTTACTTGTAATCTGTCACTTCAATTTGGTCATAATCCCATTCATTTCATCACAGAAGGGTACAGAATGCAAACAGGGTAATAAAAAAAATCACAGAAGCATACCTGCCAACTGTCACTATTTGTGGGGGATTTCCCCCCTGAAAGCTAAATGGAAATTTTGAAAGAACAATTTTGTCCACAATTTAAAACAAAACAATTAATTTTACAATGGCTCTAGGATTGCAAAAGTAGGAAGAAGCAAAAAATCAACATTAGACTACATTTGAAGGCCCCATTGAAGGTTTTGTAGGACTATAACAGTGTTCTCCCCAGGATTTTTAGATAGCCCTGTGTTAACTGCACTATATTAGATTGATTGACCTTTTGCATTTGCGTTGTGATGTTACATTTATTTATAACTGCCATATTGGTTATATTATATTAAATAGACAAAGACCTACATTTTTTTTACATACTGTAAATTCAGAAATTATTGCGATGTTTTTATTATTGCGAAAAATGCGACAGGGTTATAATTGCAATAATTTAAACTCGCATTTTGAAATTTTTTTATACATGTATGAATTAAACAGGATTTTTCTCAATATGGCAAAAATTAAAATCGCATTTTAGTCTAAAATGACAAAATCGCAATAATAAATGCACGCAATAATTTCTGAATTTACAGTATGCATTAACAGAAATGAAAATAAGTTTTATTTTTATTATTATGCTTTAAAAATTAAAATGAAAGGGTATAACTTTAATTAAATATTTTGGGAATGACATACCTGTCAACCTCTGAAACTGAAAATGCAGGTCATGACCTGCATTGAAGAAGAAAATGTCAGGTCATAATGCGTACAAACTTTTTCGGTCCAATTTTAGTATTGAGAAATAAGAAATCAATCATAGCTAATGTGCTATACACAAGAGGAAGATAAATAGAAAGAAAATGTGTTTCCTTTCAGTGTAATATCTAGAGCATATGGATTTCATTTTGATTTAAAGCTTTTACATTTAAGTGATAACAACATAATTCTCTCCAACAGAAATGTATTAAAAGGTTCAAATTGTTTTAAAATGATTTTTACAGGATATTTGATATTTGCAAACGGCAAATCTTTTAATCAGGACATAAAATTGTATGTCAAGCTTGACTGGCTTCAACTTTCTGGGGTACCATTAACAAACAATCTATGAATTGTTACTTTTCAATCAAATGAAATGTTTTAATAGCTGTAAATAAGCAAATTCTAATTTCAATTGTTTACCTTTTCAAAGGAAAAACGCAGAGAAAACCAAATGTATATTTTACTTCTAAATACCGGTCAGAAATACGGGTGAAAACAGGTCATGTTTTGACATCCCGGGTTATTTGAATGTCCGGCGGGTATTTAAAAAATCCCATGTGAAGGAGGAAATTCTCGGGTGTAACCCGCAGAATGCAGGTCAGTTGACAGCTATGGTCGTATGGAATGTTTTATTGAGCACTATCCATCCCTTTAATGAAGTTTGTGCATCTTTTTATTCTTAAAAGTGAAAAACTCCAGAAAGAAATAGGTCTTTTTGACAGTAACAGTTCTGCCAATGGCGCCATTTTTTTCTTTTCATTGAACTGGCCCCTCCGATATTTGGCTTCGTTTGATGAATAAACGATCTCTTGACAAATCAACCAAATGATCATGTGATCGTAATTATACAGATAAACACTGGAAATTTGAAAATTGAAAAACAATAGAGCTAATATTTGATTGGATATCGCTACTGTCTGCCCAATAGCACATCACTGAAATACAATAGTGCCGAATACCGCATGGGGAGAACTCTGTAATAGAGCCATCTTGCACATAAAACCCCCATGGGCATTTTGAATTTTGAAATGTTGGCAGGTATGCCAGTCTGAGATATAACTCTATAGGGTTATTACAGAAAATAACTTGCGTGTGTTATTACAGATACTTTCATGAGTAGTCTACTCTTTATTCCTTTAATTTTCTAAATCTGCAATAACATATGTTTGTTATTTGTAAAATAAATCAAAAATATTTTAAATAATAATGGGCTCTAGGGAACTCTTGAGACTTTGCGCAGAAACTAAATGCATAGCCTTGATAATTAATTCTTTAATTATATTAATACATTTTTGATTAACCATGTTGATTAACCATGGTAAATCAATGAGACGAGGCTTTTAAGGGATAAAATTAGCTGTAATAACATAGCTTAGTTATTAAAGGAATATAACCTACAATATGAGACACTTGGGAATTACTGGGAAGCTTGCGCAGAACCTCATTACATGCTCTGATCATTATTTCTTACAATAAATTAAAAAAAATTGTAATAAAGCATGATGTATGTCTGAGAAAATGCTTTGGAATGATATAGAGAAGCTGTGATAACACCCTTTAGTTATTACAGGCATATTTTTTCTGTAATAACATATAGGTGTACTATGCAAAATTGGCGAACTATGAACTGTTATATCTTTCTATAGTTAAGTATACATAAAGACAATAGTAATATCAATAGAACTTGTATGCATTTTAACTAAACTAGTGATGTATATTGTCCCTTTGAAACATGTAACATACATATGTTATCACAGTTCTTTGATTTTTGAGTCCACAATAACAAATGTATGTTATTTTTCTGTAATAACCCTATAGAGTTATATCCCTGACTGTATGCAGAAGGGTACAAAATGGAAACGGGGTAATAAAAAAATGGAGCTGATGGCATTCCCAGTAACCGCGAATTTCACAAACCATTATAAAACACTTCAAATAAATCACACTAATATTCATCATTTTATATGACAAAATATATCTACTTTTAACTTTACGATAAAACTTACCAATTTATTGTATTTGATGAACATTTGGAATTATATGGTTAATTCATTGAGCAGTCGAAAGTTTTTCAGTCAGACGCTTCCAAAATCCAAAAATCTTGCAAGGTCTTGTAAAGTTCGGAATTTTATCAATTTTATACTGAAAAGCCTATCAGATTCATTTTCAGTTAGATATACTGTTCCCAGTTTATGGTTATAATAGACCTTATTGCTATTTGGGAATCTGCAACACTTGACATGAGGGTCTGCAACACTTGGAACTATTTTATACTTCATACAACTATCACTTTTCTTTTGTGAGGTCAGAAATTTTCTATTGTGACATCATTAAGGGAACCTTTGTGATGTTCAACTTCGGTAATTGAAGACAAATAGCGATATGTTGTATACCTAATTTCTAATTCCCTTTTTATGAATAAGTTTAAGTCATATGAAACTTCAAATTAAAAAAAAATGTTAAACATGTTTTATATACTTGAACATGTTGAATGGCTAAGTTTTACTCTAACGGAAGTGAATGTGAACTTTTTTTTTTAAAGAAAATCCTTTATATTATCAAAATCTTTATAAATGTACCTATATTGAATCATTGACTTCCCAGACACTAATTCGCTGATATTTTCCCGTATGCAGTGACCTTAACTACGAGGTCTCTCGTTATAACTTTGGCCACTGCACAGCGCAAGTGTGAGGGGGAAACCGTTATGAAAAAATGTAAACACACATGCTCTTGAAGGTAAATAGAAAGAACAGATTCTTAAAGAACAAATTTAATACAAGAATCATGTAACAACTGTTAAGGAATAGTTTAATTAACAAATGGGAACACATGGAAAATATGAAAACAAATGTCATGGCTCTCCCAATTCCCTTATCCCTCACGCCATTCACGCGCTCTGTTTTTATTGTTTATCAATGACACGATCCAGTAAACTTCAGCAACAAACTCGAAAGTTAATAAACTTGCGATCAACAACCACTGAATGAAATATTATTTGTTGATTATACGTTATATATGTGTAATAAATATAAAAAAAAGGTGCATGCAAGACTTAGTTTAGTATATGCATGCATTGGTTCAATAATTTCAATAACATTAAAATTTCAAGAAACTCGTTTCATATGACTTTAATGCTGCACTGGTTGATTGAACGTCAGTC